GATAACATTTCTGTATTTTGACTCGTATACTTCAATTAGCCAAAATTCTGATTTCATGTTTTCTTCAAAATCTATTCCGAGTTCCCCAGAAAAAGATGACAAAAAAAAATCTTCTAGATTTTTAAAGTCCTGTAAAGTTTTCTCATTGGGTTGCCCCACAAGACTATGGAAAAACTTACTAAGAAGACAAACAAGAAATAAAAAATACTCAACCATTTTGTCGAGAATGTCTTTCAGATGTTATGATTTGCTTTTCCCGCTCATGAGTCGTCATTGAGACTTTCTTCAAAGGATTTTGTTCAAATTCACAATCAAAGGAGGAGGGTGTTGACAGAAGCAACAGTATGTGTAGCAGGAATATGACTGATTCATTGGTAGAATTGCATCAAAAAGCAGAAAAATAGCGATTGAAGCGTTAAATATCTGTTATATCTGTTCCAAATCACATACCAGCAAGTAACAGAAATCTTCAGACAACAGAATACCGCTATGAAAAAAAAAAAAACATGCAATAATGCAATGCTTTCCCCTTCCACTAGCGGAAAAGAATGATATCGGACAAAGAAAAGATCCTGTGAAATATTTTTTTAAAATTGTTTTTATATTATTATTTTTGTTTGTTTGTTTTTTGTTTTTGTTCGATTAACTCTTCCCAAATCATAAATGATTTTCCTTTTGACCAGAGAAAACTTTAAACCAGTGATGAGAAACTGATTGAGACACCAGATATCATTTATAGGTTAGATGCACCACAAGCAATCTTAGAAAAATATAAGCAGTATTATTAAGAGTTTGGCCTTGAGCCATTAGAAAAGATAGAATTATCATAATTTTTCAGACATTTCATTAATTAGATATTTCTCCTGTTTTATAACGTAAGTGGTTAATTAATACGTTGATGGCTTATTATTATACATGACTTCACACATGCCATTGGAATTGACAAGCCTTGTGAATGAAACTCTTAATAAACCACTTGATTACCTTTAAACTGTTTTCAGAAGCGTTCATTTTTAACGAGACAGTGATCAGGCTGAAATATAAAGTTTCTAAGTTTTTGAAATAAAGCTTCTCTTAAAACTATGATTTTTTTTTTTTTTTTTTTTTTTTTTTTTTTTTTTTTTTTTGGTACACAAACCTTGTTTAAGATCCTTAAAAAGTTACAGCAGCAATAAGGAAATCATTGGGAGGAATGGATTATTTATTCACAATAAGAACGATGTATTGATGATTTGGTTCATGTAATATCCTCTCTGGACTTCCATATGTACATCAAGAAGACGCGAAGAGATACAGGGATTTCATACTTGAGAAAAAGTTATCTTAAAACAAGGGATAGCAATCGGATAATTTAACGGTAAATAGTTAATTTTTCCGACCGATTATTCGGTTAAGCAAACGAACACTTGTTTGTAATTTTTTTAATGATTTTTTTTTCTAATTTATATTCTATTAACACAATATGTAAACAAGTAAGCTATGATAAACAGAATTCCTTACTTTCTACTAAAAGTAAAAAAAAAAGGTTACCATGATGAACGTTTATTTCGCTATTTCTGACAATCAAAACAGAAACATTTTTTCACCGATTTTCACGTCAAGTTTGCTTCCAAACTGTCATTAAATGATTTTCAATACATCATATTGATAATGACGTTTTTTCTGGCGCAAATTTATGAGTGTTTTCTCAACATCATAGAAAAAAAAGAGGTTCGCTTTCTGATTTTCCGAGGAGAAGAACCCGTCGATGAACTCAGCGATCCAGGCAACCAAGGTTTGTTTATATTTACTTTTATTTAGTACTTAATTATTATTTCTTGAAAGCTTACCTATTTTTTACGTTGCAAGGTAAAAAAGGTATCCTTTACTTTAAGAACTGAAAGAGAAAGTTTCTTCCCATTGACATGGTGCTTGGCATCATGTGCTGCTCAAGCATATGTTCAACGTTACTCAATAGTGAAGAGATACTAACTCAAGGGGGAAACTATCGAAGTCTGAACAACCAAGACAGACATCAGGGACTGCTAGCTTTCCTCTAGAGCCATTCAAAGTTCATAATAAATTCTTATAAAAATATTAAAAATAATTTGAAATTTGTCAAATTCTTGTAAGAACTAGAATCTCGCGGACGTCTTAGAAAACATTAAAATGAATCATGAACTGTTTTCTAAAACTTCCGCATCGAATTCATTGCGTCTCAACATTCCATTTCAATATTTTCTCAGACGTCCTCAATGAATTCGATGCGGACATCTGAGAAAATATTCGATTGAAGTAAAATTTTAGTTCTTACAAGAGTTTTAATACAATGTTTTCCAAGACATCCGCGATTGCAATCACTTCAAAGTAAATATGACGAATATCTAGACTTTGGATTTATCAATTTTAAAATACATGGTTAATTAAGCATTTAAAAATTGCTGGAAATAAGTTTAAATAATTCTTAATATCATGAAATAAATTATTCCTGTGCACGCCCTACATTTGGAAGGAAAAAACGAAATGCTAATGAATGCGGCTAGCAATCGTTACTTTCTAAAAGATGAATTACATGTATATAAATTCTACACACAACACATTTAAAGGTGTCTGTGTAAAAAATTGACAATGTCTTATACAGTTGAGAAAAGGATATACCATGCACCCAGAAGATATTATCATTAAAAACGTTTTTATTTAATTGATTGATTGATTGAATGTTGTTTTACGTCCCGTTAATGAATTTTTCACTCATACAGAGACGTCACCATATACCGGTGAAGAGCTTCAAATTTAGACCTTTACTCGGCACTCATGACTATTAAGCAGTGAGGGTCCTTTGTCGTACCATAATTTTGAAAAGAAACAGCCACTGAAACTCCAGAAGAAAAAGTAATTATGTACATTTTTGTACTTTGAATAAATCATCTTAAAAACTTTTTTGTGTTTTTGTTTTTTCGGTTTTCAGAAAATAGAGAGAGAGAGAAGCTGGCTGGCTGTATGTATGAATGACGCATGACGTCACAATGGGTATACTTGAATCGATGCCAAGTTTTTGTGTGTAATGCCTGTGTATACTGAAGACGTACAAACGTAGAACAAACGTCTTGTTTCATACTAGATTTAAAGCACAAGCTTGACCCCCCCCCCTTATATCCACTAAATGTACTAGCTTGACCCACCCATCTCCCCCAGGGGTTAAAAGTGCACTTAGTTGACCCGCCTATCCAGGATCTGGGGGGGGGGACAAAAGTGCACTCAGTTGACCCGCCTATCCAGGTCAGTTATACTACACACATAGCAAAATTCAGCTCAATATCTGTAAGCGTTTAGAAAAAAATTGTGGGAAACCCTGAACAATTGAAAAGGTCGTGATTCCGTCAAAATTCTTTTAAGCGGAACGAAATGCAAACTTGATCTGTAACTCATCAAGATACACTCACATACCAAACATCAACTCAATATCTGCATGGGTTTAGAAATAAAAGTGCGGAAAACCAAGTGGGACAGACTGACAGGCAGAATGAGGGACAGACAAACTCGGAGGAAACCTATAGTCCCCTCTGGTTTCACCGGTAGGGGACTAATAAGGAAAGACTGGAGTCATTTTGCTTAAATACATTTGTATTGCTAGTTGGTCCTTATCGTCTACAGTCGGTAAAAAATTGAAATATAGAACAGATGTAGAATAGACTGTAATGGTTTTTTTTATTTTCAGTAAAGTCACCACATGAATGACAGTAATTTTTTTTTTATTTCCTCACCCTGATGCTCTGTGATTTTTTATTCACTTTGATAAAGTATAAAACAACTTCGTCCAGTCTCTTGTCTACCATGACTCTACCAGTGACAATAACTCATCTACTGTCAAACAGAACACCACAGTGTAAACATACTATGTACAATTACAACTTTTGCAAAATATATAAATAACCTTTCAAGGCAAGAATCTGACTTTGAGAATGCTTTGCTCATTTAAACCAAACATTCATTTTTATTTTGTTTCTATATATATATATATATATATATATATATATATATATATATATATATATATATATATATATATATATATATATAACATTCTTTCTTCTATTCTCATTCAATCAAATAACCTGATAATTAAGTTATATCCAAGGATTTCTTCATTAACAACATCTAGGAAAGTGTATTACCTCTCATTTGCTTCACGTATTACAATTGTGTACTCTGAAAAGGCACATTTACTTATAATTTTATTGAATACATTACATTGATATCATTGCATTTGGTATCTTATGAATTCTGAAATAAAATCATCGACCGTGAAAATATAAAATTTAAAAAAACGACCACAAATTGTACTCGATATAGGGGATACCCATTTTGTTCATAAAATTCCGTCTAAATCAATGAAATTCAATGGATTTTTCACAAAATCTCTATTGCATACTCGAAATGCGGTTTGCCATTATACTCTCATGGGAGAATATGTAGTTCCTTTTCCGAGCTAAGTACTCACATTTACCTTTAGATTTGAATTATTCTATTCCGTTGTCATCAAGGGATCTTTAAGAAGATTGTAATATACTTAAGTTACCAGTAAGGCCTTTGGGTGTCTTGTTTAAAATCCTGTTGTTATGCTGTTCAATCTTTCAACTACAAAGTTACAGCCGAGACAAGAATTCTATAAACCTTGAGCTTACAGGGATGACCTAGGTTAAAGGTCATGACACACCCTCTGGTCATAAACAACCCTCTACATCTGATATAGTTCTGCCAAGAATTTTATAGCTGCCTTTGACCTTGAACTTGTCAGAATGACCCTTGATCGTAGTCATGACACTCCCTCGGGTCTTGAGCAATTTCTGTATCAAGTATGAGCTTTCAATGATTCTCCATACAAAGCAACAGCCCCGGACAAGATTGCAAGGACTGAAGACAAGGTAATTCCTGTAACCCCCCCCCCCCCCCCAAATCGTCTGTGGGTATAAATAATAAATTGAAAACCTGTTCCAACAAATCTTCAAAAATAAAATTCCTTAAACAGTATAATTTTTTATATGTATTTAGTATAGGCATTGACATAAATAACAGCTTTGAATAAGATGACATGTAACTGTACTATGATTTTAATTGAAAATTCATCCAATCTTTCATAAGACATAAGAGTTAATATACTTAACGAGATCGTATCATCATTTGTGTTTCAGTTATATTTAGTCCATTCATAAGAAGCGGTGACCAGGGTTCCACCCATTTTCCCGGGGCCCAGGGTCCGTTTAGGAAGGCATGGTGGCAGCCATTAAACCACCAGCCCCCTCTAAATTGAACAGCACAGTTGTTATCACCATTATTGTCGTTGTCCCTATCCAGCGTAGTAAAAGGCATCCCAGCGATTCTTCTGTTTGTATTTAACATATTGTCTCCTGTTAAGAATAAAAACTATTTATATATGTACATGTAAAATTGATGCAAGGAATCGACATAAAATTGAACATTTTTAAGTATTATCATACGAGTCCAAAGGTGACATATTCTTTCTTCAAAACGTTTACAAAACCCCCAAAACCCAAAAGTCTCTGACGAGACTAGCTTTTCTGGTCTGTGCAATGGAAGAGAAAAGTAGCACTTAAACTTGACACTTTGCAACAGCAACAAATAGAATAATGATCCTTGGTTTAGTCTCTTAGTGGCAAGATTAATTGCAATCAGACTAAAACTTTAGGAGGATGAGCCTTCTGAGAGGATTTTACATAAAGAACTGCGAACGATAGTATTGTTCTCCCGCCTACCTTCAAGTCAATTTTCAAAAGTTAATATATTTGAATGATTTTTCATATTTTTATAGATATTTATATGAATTTTCATTAAACATGATTTATTTGGGAAAACGAAGAGAGATAACTCTATAGTTTTGGTAAAACTTGTGTTTTTCACTAAAGAAATCAATGGAAAACGGAAAATATTTTTAAAACATCTTTCTCCCCCGTGAAAAAAAAATTCCTTTTTACAGGTAATATGGATTGTTATTTCACAAATTCATACCAAAGCTTTTTGTGTTTCACGGGGGGGGGGGGGGGGGGACATATGTTTACAGACAAAAATGCTCATTTTTTCACCAATTTCGAAGGCGTTTACAACTTAAACGTTGTATTTTATCAATTACATATGTTTAATTTTATATGCGTAAATCATCAGGAAAGATTTAAAGAACACTTATCAATATCCAAGAATATTTTAAAATATGCTGATGCTTTCAAGCCTGATTTCAATGGAAAACAACGTCTACCCCCCTTATAAAAAGAGCTGGAATTAAGAGTAATTTACTATTTAACACTGGTATTAAAATTATTACTCGATTACCATTGAACTCTTCTTTGGATTCATCAAAGATTTTTTGGACAAATTACCATTAGTATTGAATTAAATGGGTGTAAAATGTAGGCGGGAATCGGGAGTTAGCATGCGTAGTTCTTTGTTTTTTTAGTTACAATGGCAACTAACTTTAAGAGGAGTAGTTTCAAAAGTATTTCACAGATATTTCATTTTTCATAACCATGACAACACCATTCATCGAAATCATTCGATACACAGAATGAAAGAAAAAGTGAGCAAGCTCACATACCCCACGCTCCCCAAAAACTCGACAATGCAACACGTAATGACTGGCACGGTGCATTTTAAAAACACAATATAATTCAAAAAGGGGCATTACTTGCAAAAATCATCACATCAAAACTTCTTGCATATAAGGACATTCAAATCTTCGTATGTTACAAATTTAATTGGGCTGAAGTTTCTGGATAAATAATGGAATCAAAATTTCTTGGTAATATACAAATCTATACATTATGTCTGAAATACCTACAAAGTTTCAGGAAATTCAGTGCAGGAGTTACGCTGACAAACTGTTATTTAAATTCCTCAGTGATTTCGATTTGTTTAATGTGTGTAAGTCTAACACCTGACAATTTACACATTCAAATAATTGATGGAAACAAAATTATGATGTAGTCATATGAATTTGTTTATATACTGTACTTATGAAATTATTTAAGGCAAAGCACGAATTTGAGGGGGGGGGGGATTGATTGTATGTTGTTTTACGTCCCATTCGAGAATTTTTCACTCATATAGAGACGTCACCATATACCGGTGAAGGGCTTCATATACCGGTGAAGGGCTTCAAATTTTGACCTTTACTCGGCACTCAGGGCCATTGAGTAGTGAGGGATCTTGATCGTGCCAACGCCTGCCGTGACCTCGGTTTTTAAGGTCTCATCTGAAGGACCCGCAACTTTCACTTCAAAGTGCCGAGCGCATGGCGAAGGAACAGTTGCTACCCATTTTTTATCGACTTAGGTCAGTCGCGGCCGAGATTCGAACTCACGACCTTCCGATCACGGAGCGAGCGCTCTACCGACTGAGCTACCGTTAACGGTAGAAGGGGGGTGGGTGGGTTAGAACTATACAAGATTTTGTGTGCGTGTGTGTTAAATCATTAATATTTTGATCTCAAAATCAATAGGGATCTTTTAAGGTAATAAAATATTTCACATAAAATTTCATTACAAAAGCTGATTCAAGTGGATTTCCTTATTACTTAGCTAGTAAGTTTCTTCAGTAATAGGCAAAACTCTTCAGCCATAAAATAATGAATCGGAATTTCCTGGTAATGTGCACATCCACACACTGTGTACTAAATATCCGCAAAGTTTGACCAAATTCTGTGCAGGGGCTTAGGAGGAGTTGTGCTGACAAAAAAACAGGACTGACTGAATGACTGACGGGCGAGTCAAAAACATTATACCTCACGCAACTTAAGCTTGTTGTGTGGGGTATAATTATGTAGCTTAGTGTAGTCTACTTGTTTGCCATTCATCGATAATAAGAACCGATAAAGAGGGTTGTTTTGTTTAGTGTAGACTATTTGATTAGCAAGGTATATTGAATGAAATATATGGAGATAACGAATAGTATTAAAGCTCAGAAGTCCATTAAACAATACAGGAGCAGAGCAAACACGGACCTCCAAACATCAGAGGTGGGATCCGGTGCCATGGAGGAGTGTTCAACCCCTGCCGACCGGTCACATCCGCCTTGTGCTCCTTGTCATGATCGGGAAATAACGGAAAAATAACGGAAATCTGACCAAAACTGTAGGAGGAGAAGCATTTTGAATTTTTTTTTTACAGGCGGACGGACGCACACATTACTGTCGTATAAGCTTCTGACCAGAATGGCTAAACAAAGCAATCGCATAAATTGCAAGAGAAACAGGAAGACACTTCTGTTTTTGTGGATTGTCATATCAAATGGATTAGTCAATGAGACAATCAATACTAAATGATCATCAAATTATAAAAAATAATGTAAACGTGTACGTGTAATGTGTACGTGTAGTTTACAAGTGCACGTACAGGCGAGTTTGCTAAACCTCTCTTTTATCTGGAAACTCATAACGATTTGCGTCCATATCTTATATTGTCCTACGTTTAGAATAATGCCTAATAAGATAATTTGTTTTTTGTTAAGCAGACACGTTTGTCACATGGTTTGAGTGATAAGTAGTACTTTCCCGAGTCAGTAGTCGAAAAGCTTTTTTGTTTGTTTCGAACAAAACCAAGTTGATTGTTTTCTTACAAAAACTATGGGTAGATACATACAATGCTCATCTTCTAAGATTTTTTAGTATTTGAAGAAGCTAAAGGAAGTCTATAGTATTTGAGGAAGCTAAAGGAAGTCTATACTCAGATTCTTCAACTACTGGATACAAATAAGCGAGTGTTGTCATTATAGATGTTGCCCAGCAAACTATTTAAGCTACCGCGTGTGTCTGAAGATAATTCTCCGACTCAATCCATAGGCTTCTTAAATTTTCCAACAAAGGAATAGATGTTTTTAAAATTAAAAACATTCATCATAATAAAATTTCAGTCTTGCTTTTCACCATATTTCAAGTCTACATATTTTGAAGTCTACACCTTTCTTATAGATATATCCAACTGGTGCCCCAAAGCTTCCCAATTTTAAACAAACCTTACAGTGCCAAGGTATTGAACTTCTAAAACAAAATCCTCTTAAGTGTTCTTGATCTTGACTTCTTCTTTCAACTACAGCCCCGCTCGACATGTCATTACTGGTAATGTTATAGACTTGAAAATGAAAACAAAGCTAAATACAATTATCGTAAGAGGTCCTAAATACAGGGAACCCCGATCTTTCATTGCAGAAAGAAATTCATCGAGTCGCTTGTAGAGCAGAGCGACACTAAGGAATCACTTTACCAAGAGTATGTCTGTCTGTCCGTCTGTCACATCCTATATCTCAAGAACTGTAAGAGGTATGGATTTGATATTTTACACATACATTGCTTGGCACTATGGCATTTGTAAATTACCATGGTTACCGACCTCGTGACCTTTGACTTTGAACACTTACCTACTTTTCAAAATAGCCCATAGTGCCGATATGTCAAAAATGTCAATTTAATAATACATTTGAGGGTTATGGGACCATGTTTTCTTTGATTGTCAGATTCTATTGCAGCCTTACTATCCATGGATGCCATTTTTTGCAGGCAAATGCATGAAATATCAATTAATCATGCTTTTAGTAAATAAAAAGCTGACCACTCTTAGATTTTTTTTTACACCTTTAATGAAGCTTCAAAGCAGGCGTCTCATGCGTTCCTTAGAATTCTCTAGTTTCTATTATAAATTCAGTCTAAGATTAAACCTAACGTTGGGTTACGTATGAAAAGAAAGACCTGCGCACAGTGCCGAGCTGATAAAGGGTTTTAGAAATATATCAAAGAAACGTATAAAAGAAATTAGAGCAAAGCTCGTTGCAAAGCAATGAGTAGGTCTTCCGTTGGAGCTGCGGTCAGCAAGTACTGACCTTCGGTCAATGTCATTACACTTTCTTAGGTGGAAAGCAATTTGGAATGAAGTATTAACTTCCAATGTTTCACCAGTAGAAGAACAATGCACAGATTTACAGTTTCTTCTTCAGTGACCTTGAATTTCTGACAATGACCTTGCATCAAGACCATAATAGTTTCCAGTTAAGGTAAATCCACATGTGTAGGTCTCCGACGATGATAAAGTTTATACCTTTAAAAGAGTGACCTTAAACTTGCCTGAATGACATTCGTCAAGGTTGTGACACACCCTCGGTCACAAACAACCTTTATACCAAGTATGATCTTCAGTAATTCTCAATTACAAAGTTATACCCATACAAAAATTTTAAACTTTTCTGCCATTGTCCTTGAACTTCCCAGAAAGACCTTCGATCAAGGTCATGTCAACTCTTGGAGTATAAGCAATCTATGTATCAAGTATAAGCTTCAAGTGAATTCCAATTAAAAAGTGAAAGCATGGAAAAGGAAGTATTTTTATGCCAGAGACCTTGAACTTACTGA